CTGATGTTTGCGCATCAGCCACGAAGAAGCTGAGAATGGGTCGGGAACGCACGCAGATATCATCGTCATGGTCGCGGAACGCCAGGAATCCCACTGTCGTTTTCTTCGCATCGTCTTGATCGATACAGTTGACCCCGATGTGTCGTTGGTTCACGCAACGGTCGTCGATCGAAAAATAACGCAACGAAACATCGACGAGAACGATTCACTCGATTACTAGACAGACAGGGTAATCGAGGAGTTACGATGACAAACGATGCTTGTCAGCTATCCGTTAACCGTAAACGCGACGCTTTTCGAAGATTCTCGAAACTTTCGGAGTAGACCAACGAAATTACAGCGCACGACCGTGGAATCTTCGCGACATCTGTGCAGCTCGCATCGAATCGAAGAAAACGACAGTTTGCACGAGAAATACTGTTCGTAATCGTTGGCCATTTCGCGCAAATGAAAAATGAATTTAACCTAGAAACTAGCCGACATTTAACGTACATAGAATCTGGTCTATAGTTGAAAACTGCTTTTGAAAAAATAGGTCGCGATGCGGTTAGTCGACGCGACCGCCCTTGAGTCGTGCCGTTGCTCGCTTTTCACTGTATAAAAGTTTCACGAGTAGAAGAATAGCGAATGAAACTTCCGACAAATTTTATAGAGAATATCATCGAGCTCCCTTTCCGTTTTTCTCCCTTGTCCTCTTGTATCGTCAACAGAGTGGTTCGCGTCGTAAGAACGGTTTGATTTTTCGAACGGCTCTTTGCGTTACTCGACGAGTCGAGCTTTTTCGAGAGCGCAACGAAAGAGACTCGGCTTGTTATCGCGTTTACTCCAGCAAACTCGATACCGACGAAACGTTAGTCAACGAGAAAAACGACGAATCGCATAGTCCAATTGATAAATCGCGTCTTTGTATCGCTTCGACACGGTTCCAGATGGGAAAACGCTGTTCCTCGATGACAATGCGAATAATGTACGACACATTACGCGTATACAACGCCGGACAAAAGCTTGGGACAGCGGAGCTTTTAAATATAGCTGGGAACTCGAAGAAATTGATTCGATATTGCTTCTCGTAGAAGTTGCGTGGATCGGGAAGGACAATTTTTCTATGCGACAATTCGAATCGGGCTCGAGATATACGCGATTGTAAATTGGGTATTTCGCGTGTGTGCGCGCGTGACTCCACATACGATTCGCCGTATGAGCGCGGACCTACGACAACGTACCATCGGATGTCAACTCAACCTCCTGCCGTTTAAACCGCGACCATCGAAAGTGGAATACCCAATTTTCAATCGCTGATATTTAAAAAACGAAGCCACAGATGGCAAAATGGTAAAAAGGACTTTCCAATTTCCTTCGACACGGAATATTTGCAATCTCTGTGCCGTACGACGAAATATTTCTATTTTCAACGAATCCTATCTATTATTTCCGCGATACTTCGTTATTTCTAGTAGCTCTAATTCCACGAAATGAACGGATATATTAAAAAATTGGACGGGTATTCGTTGTAAAATGAACAATGGACTGGTGTGGAAATGCGAACGTCACTCGCACGCGAATGACGCGGTAGCGAACGCGATAACGAAGCGTTCGTCGATCCGGTTCCGTTCCACAATTTCTAATTTAACGTCGATCCGATCCGACGTGAATATTTATCGACGACTTTTCGTCAACGAACGCGGCAAGAGTTAAGCGGATTTTCACGGACGTTAAGGTCCGTCTTATCGTGCTTCTTCGACGAACGACAGATGGTTTTTATGCCGAACACACCGACTCGAAAGAAAACGAATAAAACAAAGACCCGTTGATACTTTAGTTTTCCAACGGCTCGTGTTATCTGTCCGCTCGAAGCACGAAATATACGAAGTCTATTCATTCGATGACAAAAAAAGAGAAGATTCAGCTGTCTGCATCAGAGATCAGCGTTCACGGTGCTCGAAATCGGTTTAGCTACCGAAAAAGACGACTTCAGATGCCACGAGCAAAGCGTTACGCGTCGAACGGCAATCGATATTTAACCTATACAACGGAGACGATCGGGAAAACGAAGCAGTTGGAACGGAACAGCGTTACACAACCAGCTACACGTTGCATACAATTCAAGTGGCCAATACAGAGTACATCTCGACCATTTCTATGTTAGCTCAAATTCCTTTTTTTTCGACTACCGTATAAAAAAGAGAACATCTGCAACTAATTCAGACTGTTCCAACGAACCGCGAAGAGAAGAAATTGTATGAATTTTCCTTCGGTCGTAGAGCGATCGCGTCTACGATTATTGGCACACCTGGATACAGGTGGCAGAGGATAAGGTAACAGCTGTTCGTAATTTCTGGCCCCGGAGACACTCCGATGCCAGCAGAAGCCTTCGTCTCTCGACCTTTCGCACTCGAGCGTTTATTTCGATCGACGAATATCGAGTAGAAACGTCCCGAGCGTTCCGAAGCCGATCATACCAGGCTAACGCGTCTGAATCGTCGCGTTTCAGGCGGTATAAACGCTTCGACGTGTTAGAAAGCTTCTCCATGGTTCAAGTTCCGGTTCGCGAGCCTATTCGTCTGGTAACCGGTGCGCCCCTTGAACCAGTCGCGGCTCGACTTTTGTCCCGAAGCGCGATGACGCGATCACCCTCGCGTCGGGACGCTAGACGCGCGACGCGCGCCACCAGCGTTGCAGAGGCCGAAAGGAAAGAAGGAAAAAGGCCGCCCGCGCGCGTCGGCGTCGTTGCCGTTGCCGTTGGTGGCGGCATTCTAAATTTAGGAGGAAGTATTGATTTTACAATTTGGACCCCTCCCAAAGTAAAAAATAAACCAAGCCAAACGTACTCTACTTTGATAGAGTGCCTCTCTCCTCTGCGCGGCTCGTTTCGACGCACAGCCGAGACAGAGGTACAAAAAGGGAAACATGGAGGGGTAGCGGGCGAGACCGGAGAAATAGAGGGGGTTGAAACAACCCCCGCTCTTCCTCGAATACGGCTGGAAGGGAAGAAAAGAAGAAGAAGATAGCCGGATTGTCAGGGAAAGTGAGAGGGGGAAGTGAACAGCGAGGGAAAAAACGAAAGTGTAACATCTTTTAATAATTTTCACATTTTTTCATTTTTCTTTGTAGCTCTTTGTTCGTTGTAACGCGCGTACGAGAGTACGTTAAGTACACTTTCGCTCGGAAGGCATAAGATATCCACTCGAATTTCACGACAAACGGAATACAAAACTTTACCGAGTAGGGCAAAACCCTTTAACAATATTTTACCACGGAATCAGCTATCGATGCTAAACAAATTTAGCAATTTTCCGCATTGCAGCTGAACGATTTCGCTTATTAGTTTCCCTACAGGTACACTTAATGTATGGAACACGTCGACATTATTTAACGAGTGAGATTTATATCGAGCACAGACTATGCTCTAGCATGGAGTCACGAAAGAATAAAAAAAGGGACAGTATCGCTAGACTTGTTCTTAACAAGAAAGAAAGAGTGGAATCGGGTAGAATAAGACGAGGTTGGGTGGTGAAGTACGAAGCGGGGGTTGAGAAGAGAGTGGCGAAATACCGTAGTAGTTCCAGCCTGGTAAGAAACAAAGAACAGAAAATTGATCGTTTGTTAAGTTTTATGTTCCCCGGGGCTGGGGTGAGGGTGGTCTACACCCCTCCACCTCTTCGTTTTCTTCTCTCTCTCTCTTTTTCTGCCTCTCTTTGGATTCGACTCGGTTATCTCGCTTCCTTCGTTTCTCTTTTTCCCGCCTCTTGCACGACTCGCAATAAGACGAATCGAGGAAATTCTCCGCCCGGCACCGCGGCTACGAAGGGGTGGGCACGCAGAAAAACGTACCTACAGAGAGAGAAAAGGGGTGGTTGAACGGTACTGGCCGCCCGCGGACCGATACAGGGACACGTGTACGAAAGGGGAGGTAAAAAAAAATATATATATACATATATAGGGGAAGAAAGAGGGAGGAACGGGCATCGTCCGAGTCAATGGAAGCTGAACGAGATTGCCTTCGTCGTACGAGTTGTCGTCTGCTTTCTTTTTTTTTCTGTCGGAGGATGAAGTTTAATTACCGAGATACGCGTTAATCGAAATATCATTCCTCTTTTTACGAAACTAGACATTTTATGAAAAACTTGGCCAGTGCTTTCTGATTTTTCTTCTAGACTTTGCTGCGTATCAAATGACATACTTGAAACTTAATAAATGGATCCTTAGTATGTACGGTAATTGAAAAAAAGTTACATAAATCGAGGTATCCCATACACGGTAAAAGGAGAACAGGTATTCTGGACAGACAAAAGCGCGGAAAAGTACGCGTTCAATCTACGGAAAGTGAAAATGGAGTAACACGGGTCCTGGTCGATAACACAATGCGTCTGTAACGCGTTAAACGATGTGGAATGAACGAACAAGCGGCTCTAAAAAAATTTTCAAACGCAAAATAGCGTATAGAAACCGAGCGTACGCGAGAGAAAGGGATTTTAAAGCGAATAGACGACTATCGAGTTCAACGCGGTCGCTATTAAAGGGCGGATAGTGAGTCGTTCCTATTCGACAGAAATAACAACGTTTTGTCACTCGTTCGATACTCGAAAAACTTGTTGCGGTATTTACGTTTTTGGCTGTACGCGTTTGTTGGTTCCTCCTACAACTCCTTGATCGGTCCATATTTTCATGAAAAGCCTTGTCACGATTAAAGACGAAGGCAAAAGTTCTCGGTGCATCTTTCGTTAGGTCAAAAATCGGAATCGGCTCTGTTAGTCGAGCAATTTGAAAAGAGAAACGAAGGATTTAATCGTGACCTATTGTCGTTGGGAAAGGAACAAAAGGACACCGATCGATGCAAATTGACTTTGCAAGGACTTGGAGGAGAATCCATGATTGAATTTGCCACGCTCAGCAGGAGGACTCCTCGTTAAAGTTTCATCGCGAAACGAAAAGACACGTGACGACGAACGGCACCCTTGAAACCGACTACACGTACATAGGTGTGCTTTTATTCCGTTTACCTTGTGTGCTCTCAGAGTCTTGCCCTCGCAGGCCAGGGTGACGTCGCAATAAGCCTGCCGTTCGAGCAACTGTGAGAACATGGTCTGTAGGTTGCTGTGATGGTACTTCCATCGTAGACAATACTGTTGGGGAAACATGTTGGACGATGACGTCGCGGGTGGTGTCGGTACTGAACTGCCTCGTTGCTGAAGCATGCGCGCTCCTGGTTCTGATACAAGATTCGTAGCCTCTGCTTCAAACCTGATCCCTAATCGCCTTCTTCCTTCCTTCCTTCCTTCCTTCCTTCCTTCCTGCCTTCCTTCCTTCCTTCCGCCTCTGAAACGTTAGTTTTCTATTAACAAATATCGAGTACAAGAACCGCAATCACTTCGGATTTTAAACAACGCGAAAAATGGTGAATAATTTTTTCAGCCGCGAACTCGAGTACGCTGATCCGACGAGAAGATGTTCCGCAGTTATTTGCCGAGCACTTAATCAAACACCGATCGAACAATTACAGCGATTATAAGAACAGCGAAGAAAATCTTAATTGCGATACCCCGCGAGAAGGATACGTCGACGCGACGATTCGTTTGCGATTCAATTCGTACGGTAACACTTTCCGCGTTCCCACGATACAGCAGGCTAATCAATTATACTTTAACTTAGCCATTCATCCCGCTGAAATTGCGTTTTGAAATTACGATCGATTCGAACCACGGTAATTTACGCTTCCTGTTAGACATACTTTGTTTGAACCGCTTCCGGAACGCTTGAACGATCGCCGTTACGGACCTCTTCCTTTTTCCATCCTAGTGGCAATTTCGAGCTACGTTTATCGCGAGATCGATGAAAATTTAGGAAAACTTCTTACAGCTGACGGTCGTCACGGGGCCAATCGTCGTGTTCGTTCTCGAAGCCAAACCGACCCGGGCCCTGGGTCAATCAACGCCTCTGTACCGAAGATATTCGTAGCATTTACGCGCGAGTTAGCTCGAATCCGTGGTCGAATTACTTCCCTTGACGGTGCGTCCCTTCACTTATTTTTCCCTGTAACACGACAACAAAACTCTCGGTTATTTATGGGTTATTACAAACGTGAAAGCACGAATAGTCAATGCGCGATTCAGCGTTCGATGCTGAATGGCTTAATGAATTGAATTGGAAGTTGGCGATATCGATTTCGATTGAATCTTAATTGATTACTATTTTCATTCGATTCGACGGATTATACGAAATATCGTTCGTGGAACGTTCGCGAAGAAAAAAGAAAAAGGGTTAACGAGTCTAACTAGTTTTCTTCGAGCACAGGAAACATTACACTCGGTATCGATGAAATTCTTATAAGTTGCAGCAACGTGAAAGCAATCGAACATTTTATAAAGACTAATTAAGATAGAAAGCAGAACGAGGAGAAGAACCGCTCGTTCGATACTGAATCTTTCTTGCTTGTTTCAAGTTGCGCGGAGACGATGCCAAGAAAGACGGAATCGGTTCAAAGAATGGCTCGGATTCTTACCACGACCAGAAAAGAAAGAAACTTTCCGAGCAAACTCGATGGAAAAAGAAGCTCTCGTTGCATTATCTGGAAACGATTAACGCGAACCGCTTGTATCTATTAGCATAATTATCGGGATTCTGTCTTTGCAAAAATCCTGCAAGTCGAATATCGACGTTCGGGTTTCGTCGGTCTGGCAAGCCGCTGATGAAGTTCCATTAAGAACGAAATCGGAAAGTTGATTTCGCGAATGTCCGCCCGATTTTCCGAATCTGTTAGACATACTTTGTTTGAACCGCTTCCGGAACGCTTGAACGATCGCCGTTACGGACCTCTTCCTTTTTCCATCCTAGTGGCAATTTCGAGCTACGTTTATCGCGAGATCGATGAAAATTTAGGAAAACTTCTTACAGCTGACGGTCGTCACGGGGCCAATCGTCGTGTTCGTTCTCGAAGCCAAACCGACCCGGGCCCTGGGTCAATCAACGCCTCTGTACCGAAGATATTCGTAGCATTTACGCGCGAGTTAGCTCGAATCCGTGGTCGAATTACTTCCCTTGACGGTGCGTCCCTTCACTTATTTTTCCCTGTAACACGACAACAAAACTCTCGGTTATTTATGGGTTATTACAAACGTGAAAGCACGAATAGTCAATGCGCGATTCAGCGTTCGATGCTGAATGGCTTAATGAATTGAATTGGAAGTTGGCGATATCGATTTCGATTGAATCTTAATTGATTACTATTTTCATTCGATTCGACGGATTATACGAAATATCGTTCGTGGAACGTTCGCGAAGAAAAAAGAAAAAGGGTTAACGAGTCTAACTAGTTTTCTTCGAGCACAGGAAACATTACACTCGGTATCGATGAAATTCTTATAAGTTGCAGCAACGTGAAAGCAATCGAACATTTTATAAAGACTAATTAAGATAGAAAGCAGAACGAGGAGAAGAACCGCTCGTTCGATACTGAATCTTTCTTGCTTGTTTCAAGTTGCGCGGAGACGATGCCAAGAAAGACGGAATCGGTTCAAAGAATGGCTCGGATTCTTACCACGACCAGAAAAGAAAGAAACTTTCCGAGCAAACTCGATGGAAAAAGAAGCTCTCGTTGCATTATCTGGAAACGATTAACGCGAACCGCTTGTATCTATTAGCATAATTATCGGGATTCTGTCTTTGCAAAAATCCTGCAAGTCGAATATCGACGTTCGGGTTTCGTCGGTCTGGCAAGCCGCTGATGAAGTTCCATTAAGAACGAAATCGGAAAGTTGATTTCGCGAATGTCCGCCCGATTTTCCGAATTATGGCTCGTGAAGCTTTTAACGAAAGGCGACAAATGCGCGCCGTGTCGCGAGCCGTAATCGCGTTTGTCTCGTTCGACGGACGACCGATTTTCCCTATTAATTCCCTTCCTAAGTAACAATTTTAGTCCGACGAGTAAAAACGTAATATCTAATGCGATATTCGAATTGGTTAACGTTCCTGGCCAAGAATGGAGGGCAATATCTAAGGCACTGGCCTAGGTTACAGGCTCGACTGCGGTTTTAAAATTCCCCCCCGGGGCCAGCTTCCACGGAACTCGTCCGTGGATCGTGGGAATCGATAAATTCCGTGTATCGGAAAACGTTGAAGATACGGGTACATGAAAATCGCCGAAGGTCCGTGTTAACGCGATTCTTTGATCTCGTATCTCTGTTCGATTGCACGACCGGCCAATTAATACATTTTCTTTTACTCCCGGCTAATTAACTGTTGCTAATTTCCCCTTTGACCCTGGAGGAGGTTGCCTTTCTGCCGAATCGAATATTTTTTTTCATCGTGGTCAGGCGACTCGAATAAATAAAAGTTAAGGAGTGAACGCGTTAATTTTCTGTCCATTGTTCTTACGTTTGCCACTTCCGCTCCCTTTCGATCTTGTCGCCCCACAGAAAAAGGCAAAATGTCGGTCGTACGTCAAAAGGTCGTTTTACATGCGAGATAACCGGATGTCAAACATTTTCGAGGCAGCCAGGTATTCAGGTCTCTGTACTTACGAAGAGGCAACCACATAGGCAAAAGCACGTGCGCGTACGGTAGCCTACATTCCCCGGGATACTTTCTATTGTGTTTACGAATCGGATTAGAGTACCTTTCCCCGTTGAGAAAATGCCGGACTGGCAAAGCACCGTGACCTTTTGGAAATCCGGATCAAATTGGGAAATCGGGTTAAATCTTCCGCCAACGGGACGACTCCGATGGACATCGGACGACGCGATCAAATAATTAGATAGAAACCGTTCGAAAGGGGATTATATCTTGAAATATAAGTTTGAAACATTCGGTCTCGTAAAGTCCATGAAGCTTTCATCCACGTCGAAGGTATAATTTTAGTAAATTTCTATTCATGAGATACTGGGAAAGAACAAGAGCCACCCTCTCGCAGGAGTAATTAAAACTGAAAACCCAAATTAAAAGAAGAGAGCATGAAACGCTGGGAAGAAATTAAAGAAAATAGAAGAAACTCGTTTTTAATTATACTTCCTTTAAAAACCGTTCGGTCTCTGTGTATTAATAAAGAAACGATTGAAAACCATCCTCGGGTACAAAGTCGTTTCTCTTTTTAAATTCCATTGCTGGGGTACGTTCGGCTCAACGGGGCGCATTAATTTCGAACTTCTCGTTAAAGCAGATACGGAAATTAATACGCGAAAAGGATCGCGTCCAAGTTTCTCGAAATATCGAGACGAATTCGAGTTTTCCCTTCTTTTTTTCGCTGAAAGTCCGACGGTGTTATCTCGTTCACGGGTTACGAGCCCTAGAAATTAATCGAAAGATTAATTCGCGATCGTTCCTCGAACTTTCAAACGGTTCAACGAGCCACTCGTGAATTCAGTCAGCTTTCTTCTTTCCCTATTCCTTTCCTCTCTTCTTTTTTTTTCTTTCGATTATTCCGCTAAACGATCTGTTCGTTGCCGCGTAGCGAAGTGGCTTCGTCGAGAGGATAGGAAATACTGTTATAATTCACGTGATCGAAGCTTTTTGCCAGTACGGAATCGTAAAAACACGCGAACCGTGCGTAAACGCGTCCGTTTACTACCCCTTAGGCTGCTTTACGAACTGTGCGATAATGATTGGCAAGCCATTAATATGCAGGGCGGTAACTAGAGCGATTCCTCTCGGTCTTTTATCCTACATAAGATAACGCTCAGAAATAGTAGATATATATTTGAAAATCGCGATGAAAAATTGTAGGCAGATTAATTTCTCGACCGTGGTCGTAGGAGAGGAAACGAAGCCGGAGAGGCACTAAAAAAGTTGATCCACGACCGCAGATAAGTTGAGATAATAACCAAAGGCATCTACGACGGTGTTTTGAAAAGAGGAAAAAGTACTACAATCGAAGTTCCAACTTTGACGCCGGTGAGATGGAAAAGCGTAGACCGGGGTGATCAATGGCAAAGTTTCCGGAGAAAGAAATTTGCAAACGGTTCTTCGGTGTCTTCTTCGGCGAGAAAAATCCTCGAACTTTCGTTTCGAAACGAAAGAAAAAGTGCCGAGAGAAGGAAAGTTAAAACAAATGGATCGAAGTAGAAATCGGTTTAATTAACCCTTAAATCGTAGGACCAAAGGGTTGACTATATTTGAACGGAAGAAAAAAAAAGAGAAAGAAAGAAGGGAAAAAGAAAAGAAACAGAGAAAGAAGAATCCCTTGGAAAGTTGGTGGGCAACAATTGAAAATAACTCTGGGATACTTTTGAATAGCTCGAGGCCAACGACAATCGTTCGAAGCTGAAACTTCGGCAGACGGGAAGCCATGAAACTTCCCAAGACCGTGCAATTAACCGTGGAACAACTGCGAATAATTTCGGGGTAAAGTTTGGCGGGAATTCGCGTTTCTCGATAAAAAAGAAAGCCAACTACCTAAAAGCAAACGCTGAAAGTATGCGGACGCGTCAGCGAGAGATATCGGCGAGGATTTCCGATAAAAACGACCTTTTTCTTTCGAAAGAACCATCGGAAGGTCAAGAAAGATCAAACGCGAACGAGATTCACGATAAAAAGCATCCATCCTTGCGAACCAGAGCCGCTTCCAGAACGGAGAAAAGAATAAAACGAAAGGCGCGCACGCCACAGTCAACCGATACACGCGAAAAGGTCTAGCCGTTCTACGTATTTGATATTGAAATCAACACGTGGCATATTACTGTCACGCTTATCGGTTGATCGCACCGTTTCGCAGCCAAAAGTGACTCGAAATCCTGAGGAAATTTGCAGTTCGAGCTGGAAGTTCTTTGAGCGTGACAGGTTCGATGCCCTTTTCATCGAGTTCCCAAGCGCGTACCTCACCGTTTCCACGCTACCTTTTCTATCGTGATCTCGCTTCTCTCCTCCGCTTAGAGGCGAAAGAAGAAGATCCTCTTGCATATACGTGCAACGATAGTTGGGCATAACGGTTCCGCGGTCGCGAGTTACTGCCACGAGAAGATACGCGAAACGAGAACGTTCGCCTCGACTCCACAGTTGGTCCGTTTATTTCCCTCGAACGAAACAAACGGCTCGACCTTACGTTTCCTCCAACTTTACACGGCAACCTCTCCGTTTATTCTACGCAGCGTGAAAAGCGTCTCGAGATTGCTCGATCGATCAAAACATCCGAACAATCGTTCCCGAGAAAAGTGGACTCCGCCGGAATCTCGAATCGAGTGCTACAATTTCTGATACAATCCGCTTCTTCCTATTAACGCCACGAATCAACTCTGATTCGAAATCTATCGATAGCATTTTTAATCGAAGTACTGTTTCGAAGATCGTCGAATCGGCAAACACTCCGGCCTGACCGAGTTTTCTAGGGACTTTTTTCGTGGAACGCGACAAACGGACCGCGCAAACCAGAACCACGATGATAGCGGCTTTATCGCTTCAAGATAACGGGGTAAAGTTTGGCGGGAATTCGCGTTTCTCGATAAAAAAGAAAGCCAACTACCTAAAAGCAAACGCTGAAAGTATGCGGACGCGTCAGCGAGAGATATCGGCGAGGATTTCCGATAAAAACGACCTTTTTCTTTCGAAAGAACCATCGGAAGGTCAAGAAAGATCAAACGCGAACGAGATTCACGATAAAAAGCATCCATCCTTGCGAACCAGAGCCGCTTCCAGAACGGAGAAAAGAATAAAACGAAAGGCGCGCACGCCACAGTCAACCGATACACGCGAAAAGGTCTAGCCGTTCTACGTATTTGATATTGAAATCAACACGTGGCATATTACTGTCACGCTTATCGGTTGATCGCACCGTTTCGCAGCCAAAAGTGACTCGAAATCCTGAGGAAATTTGCAGTTCGAGCTGGAAGTTCTTTGAGCGTGACAGGTTCGATGCCCTTTTCATCGAGTTCCCAAGCGCGTACCTCACCGTTTCCACGCTACCTTTTCTATCGTGATCTCGCTTCTCTCCTCCGCTTAGAGGCGAAAGAAGAAGATCCTCTTGCATATACGTGCAACGATAGTTGGGCATAACGGTTCCGCGGTCGCGAGTTACTGCCACGAGAAGATACGCGAAACGAGAACGTTCGCCTCGACTCCACAGTTGGTCCGTTTATTTCCCT